AGAAGGGTCATAGGAGTCTGTCTGACTTAGGTTTTACGGTATGGAGGCCCCTGCTGATATCTGCAATAATGATCAATTCATTTAATAAACATTGTGTTAATTTTGTACCACCAGGCCTTCCACAGAAACAGAAGGGATGTGAGGAATTCAGTATGATGGTAGATTCTGACCAGATGGATCGATCGATAGGTCAAGCCAGGCTCTGAAAAACCCGCTGTGATGAAAAGAGCTAAGTGACCACTTACAAAGGGCTGGGAAGCTTTGGACGCAGCTCCTCCAGGCAGTTGTGTCTTCTACTAACCAGTCATCACTGAGAAGCCATTGTATCTGAGGGACCAGAATGCCACGGACCCTCTCGTGGTCTCCGCCCTGGCCGTGCAGCCAAATCCCCTGGGATCCTGAACGAGTCTTCACACCTGGGCCCCCACCCAGGCCACTTGCTCCAGGTCACCTGGGGTGTGGCTTGTGCTTCAAGATGTTCCCCCTCCTCCTGCAGTGACTCTAAATCTAATGCACAGTCCTTGGCGAACCACTGGCGTAGGTGGATGGGGATGTGAGATGATGGCATCAGACTTGAGATGGCTTTGCTACCTGCCTCACAGCCCTCCTCTGCCTCCATTTCCCAGCTGGGCTCCCACCCAAGTAGTCCCTGGGCCATCCCAGCATCCGGATTTCCTCCCCCTCTTTGCCAATTCTGGACCAGGGTTTTGGGGGGGCCTGCGTGGCAGGTGGTGCAGACACGGTGGGGGAGGCAGAGACTGAGTCATGCGTGGGTCACACACTTAGTCATTGGGGGGAACTGGGAGAGGGGAGGCCGGCCCCCTCCCTCAGGGTGTCGTGGGGGTGAATGCAGGGATGTGTCAACCAGATAAAGGGTTTTGTCAGAGCTTCTTAGAAGGGGAGATGGATCTTTGCTCCTTTCATTTCCTCTTCCTGTTCTCAGCAGCTGTGAAACTACCAAAAGGGCCTGGATTCAGAAAAGGAGGCTCAGGAGGCCAGTTCATTTTTCCACTGGGCACTCACGACGGGTGGCACTGTGAGACTCTGATAAAATGTGATCGTGTCTCGGAAAGACTGCATGTGCATACGGAATTCTGCGGGATTCTGACAGGGGCGGGGTGTCAGCCCGCCCTCCTATCGCCCCACAGAGCCGAGGTTAATTACCCCTGTCCTTGGGTCCCTGGAGTCCAGGTGCAGGGAGGAGAAGGAAAGGGCCTGGGCAACTTTGTGCAAACAGCCAGCTGCTGTCTGGCAGGTGAGAACAAAACAAGCTGCCATTTACCTGCAGGTAAGGGGATTTTTAACTTTGACCTCCATGTGTTAATTCAGGGGTTCCAAAAGCTTAGGGGGCATCAGAGTCTCTTGGAGGGCTTGTTAAGTCCTCAACTCCGAATTGCTGGCTCAGTGGCTCTGAGACAGGACAGATCATTTGCATTTCTTACAAGTTCTCAAGTGACAATGAAACTGCTGGTCTGGGGACCAAACCTCAAGAACCACTCATCCAATTATTTTACCTCTGCTGGTCAGCTGAGGCGCAGGTCCCACCACTGACCAGGAAGCTGGGTTTGAGTTGAGTTCATGGTTTACCACCATGTTGCCAGGATATACATTCTACTAAAAGCATCCGTCAGTTCTTGGATCCATGTAAACGCAGCCTTGTTTTTTGATTGTTCTATTTTTCCACATCAGCATGATGATGAGCAATTTGGCACCACTGGAGCCCAGAGAGTAAAAGTCCTGGGGAATGAGTATCTCCGGTCTGCACAGAGTAGCTCACCTCCTGTGTGCCTGAAGAGCAGGGCCTGCGAGTGTTTGCAGCTCTGATGGTCAGAGTGCTTTTGTTTTTCACATTGAACAGTTGCCCGCCTTTTAGGAAAAATGCTAGAGCGTTTGAGAAGCAAACGGGGAGCCCACTTGCCTTTGTGTAAAAACTTCCCGTGGTTAAGGTGCTGACAGCGGGGATACTTCTGAGCTCGCTGCCTGGCCCGGCAGAATCTGGCAGCGGCTGCAGACAGAGGAGCAAACCAACTGCTGAGGTGAATGCCCACCAAGGCTTCTCCTGGTTGGACGTGGTTCAACTGGGCCCTGAGGCACAGTGTGCCCAGGGCTGGATTTCATTCTGATGCTGAGCTGGTGTTCCAGGCAGTGATACTCAAACCTCACTGTGCACTTCAATCACCCGGGGTTCTTGTTAAAATGCAGATTCTGACTGAGATGTTTGGATCGGGGCCCAAGAGTCTGAATTTCCAACAAACTCCTGAGAGATGCAGATGCTGCAATGCTGACATCGGTGACACCTGGGAACTTCAATCCACTGCATCTTCAGACATTTGTGAAGGTGGAGGTGGAGTTTATTTTAAACAGGTAGTTCCGGTATATACCTAGGAACCTTAGAACGTGAAACCTATAATCTTCAAAAGTAGTGCGATTAGTGGGCCCAGCATGCACCTGAAATTTTCCTCTGGTCAGTGAACAACCGCCTCACCTACAAGGTTTGTGAAGACCCTCCCTTGTGGCTCCCCCAGGTTGGGGAATTCCCCTCAGTGCACGGATCAGGGTGGTTCGTCATCCCTGTCACACTGTGAACCCCTGTGACACAGTGACTGGGTTTTAATGCCCTCTGTTGTCCTGTGGCTCAGAGCTCAATAAGTATTTGTTGCCTGAATAAACATATCTGATTTCCCTTCTCTTGTGGGTAATGAACACCAGCCCATTACTAAGTGTTTAGTGGCGTAACCCACTGAGACATGTCTTAAAAAAATGAGATAGAGAAGCCACTGGGGGGGGGGGGCACATCATTTGACTTCCATTTTACCAAGCTTTCCCTGGTTGTTGCATGAGAAGGAAGTGCAGGACAAGAATGACACAGGCATGGACGCTGGCTTGGGCTAGAGCGTTAGCAGTGGAGATGAGACATGGTGGGTTCTTGACATACTGTGCAGGCAGAGTCAGCAGGATTTGCTGACAGATGGGATGTGAGGTGTGAGAGAAGGAGTGGAATCAAGGATGACTCTGAGGCTTTTGGCCTGACCTGCCCTCAGCTGAGCCGGGGAAAGACATGGGCGAAGCAGGCCCAGGTGGGCGAGGCTCGGGAACTCGGCCTTGGACATGTTCACTTTGAGAAACTGTACTTGAGACATCAGGGGGAGATGTCAAGTAGGCAGCTAGTTATACGTAGGGGGTTTGGGAGCTTCAAGCTGGACATAATGCCTTTGGGAGTCAATAGCATGTAAAAGGCCTTTAAGTCTCAAGATTGGATAAGATCACCAAGAGAAGTGAGCTCAGGCAGAGAAGAGGACCAAGGGTTGAGCTCTGGGATGCTCCAAGGTTAACAGGTTAGGTGGCAAAGGAGGAGCCAGCAAAGCAGATTAGGGGAGCAGAAGCAGGAGAAGAAAGTTTAACAAGGAAGAGGGAATAGTCAATGCTGCAAGAGGTCAAACATGAGGATAAGAACAACCACTGAAGTTGGCATAATGAAAGCCATTGGAAACCTTGAAAAGGGTGGTGGTAGAATGACGGGTGAAAGCCTCTTTGGAGCAGTTTAAAGAGAAACAAATGAGAGGAATTCATGACAGTAAGTATAGGTCACTCTTTTGAGACAGCTTCCTGTGAAAGACAGCAGAGAAGCAAAGCACAGTATCTGGCACAGGAGGTGAGTCAAGGAAAGATTTTGTTCTTATTTTAAGACGGGGAGGTTCCAGTGGAGAGAGAACTGATGATACAGAAGAGAGAGACAGCCAGGCCAAGTAGTCACCAGGTCCAATCAATAAAAAAATGAAATCACATTGTACAAAAGACTGTAATCCTGTGGATGGGGGCAGAGGCAGTTTCCATGAAAAGCAACATCAGGCAACCCATAGGTGTCCTTTATGGCCCTGCCTGGGCAGCTCAGTCGATAGAGTGTCATTGCTATTTACTAAGGTTGCAGGTTTGGTCCCTTGTCAGGACACACACAAGAATCAACCAATGAACGCTTAAATATTGGCCAAAAAGTCCATTATGTTTTTTCCATATGATGTCTCTAGTAGCACTTAGTTGTCTTTAATTTCACTCAAAACAATTTTGATAGCATTGTGACAGCTGTCATATCAGCATGCACTTAAAAAAATTAAAATTGGTGAGTTTTTGTATAGCCATTTTAATATTGAAGATGGAAGAAAATATGCAACATTTTTGGCATATTGTGCTTTATTATTCAAGAAAGGTAAAAATGCAACTTAAACACAAAAATTATTTGTGCAGTGTATGGAGAAGGTGCTGTGACTAATCGAATGTGTCAAAATTGTTTTGCAAAGTTTCTTGGTACTACTGACATTTTGGCCAACTAATTCTTTGCTGTGAGGCTGTCTTATGCATTGGAAGATGTTTAGCAGCACCCGTGGCCTCTACGCACTGGAAGCCAATAGCAGGAAATAGCCAACATGCTCAAAATATCTAAATCAATAAAGTTATTGATCAAAATGAAAAAAATTGTCTTTTATTTTGTGGAAAAAAAGTAACGGACTTTTTTGCCAACCCAATAAATGGAGCAGCAAATCAATGTTTCTTTCTCTCTCACCCACTCCCCCTCTCTAAAAACCAGTAAGTTAAAAAAATATTTACATTAAAAAAAGCAAACCTAAGAGCACCATGTTTAGGCTCCTTACCATGAGCTCACGCGCCTAGCTGCAGCCCTCAGTCTACTAAGGAGGTGCACACTCCTGCTCCACTCGCAGGCCGGGCCACTGAACTTCAAAGCAGGGAACTTGCTCTAAGGCACAGAAAGGCTGGTGTCAGAGCTCAAATCCAGGGCTGCCAAACGTCAGGAGGCCGTGTCTCCACACACTGCTGCACTCACCTTCCAGCTTCTTGCAGGAAGGAGACATTTCGCGTGGCCCCCAGCGGTCTCCTTACTTCAGGTTTGCCTGCAACAGATGGGTGTTCAGAGCCAGACACCGGCAACTCACAATGTTTCCAGCAAAACTTGAGGACTATTGGAATAAGAGGAAAGAAGACAGACAGGTGTTCCTCTTCTGTTCTTTATTAATGAACTGAGATACACAAAGACTTAATAAAAAGTTACATAAAAGGCTCAAGCATCGCCGAGATCTTCAGGCATCACTCTCGTTTCATGACAATGGCCACCTGTTACTACTGTGTAACAGAAGCTGGGCGCTCACAGGCGCTCTGTTATTCAAGTATCTTTCCTTTTAAGTAAACCCGACATGGAATTTCTAATCCAAAGGGCTGCCAGTGGAGGAAGCCTCTCTACGGCTCTGGATTTCCTGCAACACACGAAGGGCCTCTGAGTTAGCGCTGCCAGGTGTTAGTGGGTCACATCTGGCAAAGTGAGACAGGCCACACTGGGCCACCAGGCACTCTCCACAGCAAGCGGCACAGGAAGGTGGTAGGCGAAGTCCTAAGAAAAACCGTCTAAACTTCTCCTGTGTGGCAAAGTGCAGAGGAAGTCAGTGGCCATACCCCCAGGCCATGGGGGTGGGGAAGATGGCTAGGATTACCTGCTGGGGAGAAAAGGAGCCCTTAAAGGGGGAGAATGTCAGAATTTTAGAAGGAAATCTGAGAGCACACAGTGCAAAGGCATGGGGTGATAGGATTTCAGGAAGGGTGTGCTCCAGGGGATGTACCATTCAAGCAGTCCGGAAAAATAGTGGGAATGCTGGGATGTCATGAAAGACATGAGTCCCACTGGGCTCCTCAGTCATGGAGTAGCATGGCCAGCTGCTTCCCAGACTGACCCTGCCAGGTGACCAAGGAGAAACTGCACCGGGGATGCCGCAGGGCACACTGGCCTATCTGGAGCCTTCACTGCCACAAGGGCCTGTGATTCTCTAAAAAACAAAGGACTATCTTTTAAAAGTGTTATTCACCCATCTCACCTATGAGGAAAATGAGGTCATGGGAGATGAAGGCTGACCATTGGTCAACAGCAGAGGTTGCAGAAGGCCGCCCCCTTCACCAGTTTCTCTCTAGGGCACTGTGGAGTTCAGCTGTGGGATGAGGGCAGGATGATGCCCTGCAAGGTGGGGCTGGGGAAGGGGCAGGGCACCGCCCCTGTTTGGTGGGGTTGGGGTGGTGGACTAGAAGTAGTTGGAACCCCATTTGCCTGGTTACCTTCCTGGCTACAGGCTTTTCATTCTACACCAGCTGCTCTGCTTCTAAGACTCTCCGTGTAGCATTCAGGGAGTTGCCGGCTCCACGGAGGGCGGGGTGTGCTGGTGGTGGTCTACGCCCCAGAGATGTTTCCCAGCAGTGGACACTGCCCTGTGCGTGGGGCTTCTGGTCCCACTCCACCACTGCCTAGGTGCAAAGCACCTCCATCCCGACTCCCTCCCTCCTGCCCCGCGTCTGCCTGACCTCCAGTTTGCAGCTGCCAGTCAACCTGCACACAGCTGCTGGCACAGGAGCATCAGGGTTGGAAAGAGCCTTGTCCTGCTCATGTTTACAGTGCCCCTCAATGGACATTATAGAATCTTGGGAAGCTGTGAGATTCCTCATCTGGAATGTTCTTTGTTATCATTTCTTTTAAGATAACAGAAAAAGAGGCCATTTACACAGATAAAGAAGTTTGATTTGATTTCCAGCAAAAGTCTCAATGGTTTCATTCTGCAGCAGGATCGCTCTTGGGCTGGCCCCGTGGTGCTGGTGGTCTCGCCGAGTTAGCAACTCAGCACACTGTCAAAACTGGAGGACCCAGGTGTCCCAACATCCAGCTGGGCACTCATTTTCCACGGGGTCCTTTCTCCAAACGGTGGCCAGGCCACCTGCTAGGGATGCTCTAGTTTGCCTAGTGACCTGACACATAACATTTAGGAAATCAGGTTCACTAGCTGCGCTGCTGATCTTCTGACCCCCTCTCGGGGGTGCCCTGCTGTTCTGCTGCCCCTCCTCTGCCACCCCGGCCCCCAATTCCAGTCTTTGGATCTCAGCAGCAGCACCCGAGAGGGAGGTGAACATCGTCAGGGAGCTGGGTGACTGTCCCCTGTAGAAACATGCATATGAGAGTGATACCATCACCTCCACCTTCCTTTCTCCTCCAATCATATGTTACAGTTAAGATCCAAGGGGGATAACAAAAGCAGGTGCCAAAAAGGCAACCTGATGCTCAGTTTGCAAAGGCTTAAAGAGGGCCATTATTTACTGGGTGTGAGAAGTGGTTGTCAGTGGATCAGAGGGGAAATGGTTTCAGACGTTGGTGCTGTCACAGAAGGACCAGTACCGGATCACTTGCGGGTGAGATTCAGCACAGACCAGAACTTCCTGGATGGCATCCACGTCAGCTTACTCTGACGTGGAGAAGCGTGTGGGCCTGTGTCAGCGGGTGGGTGTCGGAGAGGCACCAGGCAGCACCGGCGAGGGGAGGAAGCCCTGTCACCGGCTGGGAAGAGCAGAAGTGAACCCACACTGACTGGAGAAGGAAGGAACATACGGGCAGGTCCGCTCACTTGAGTTTATACATTTTCAGGATAACAACGCCCCTTTTAGAACGGACATGCTCGTGCCAGCCTCTCCCCTGGGCAAAATAAAGTCCGTTCCTAACGTCTGCAGTAAAGCCCTCCAGGTAAACACGTCTCTCGTCTCTCCAGTTTATAGGCCACACGCAGGGTCTGCTTCTCCCGAGGCTCCAGCTGCAGCCTCCATGCACTTCCAGTCTCACGGCCACTGCACTTTCATACTAAGCTGAGTTTTGGCACTGCTGGGAAAACTCAGTTAAAAAAAAAACACAGAACCACAATTTTCCAGACAGGTTGTCAGAGAGATCTGCTAAAGACTTGAAAGTTCACTAGGCAGTGGGCACAGACCCCCTTGATACAATAATAATCACTAAAATAATTAAAAAATCTACAAAAGACACTCAATCTCATACACTGTGGACTGGAGACAAGGGGGGAGTTGGGTCATGGCTTGTTTTGCACCCTGTATGTGGTGGATAAACGCTTCCACCTCAAACCAGTACTACGTAGTCAAAAAAAACAAAAACCAAAACCAAAAACAGCACAGCCACCAAAAGGTGGGGAGGAATCGGGCTGAATCAGCGTGAGGGGCTCAGGTGCTGCTTCTGTGTAGTGGTGCTTCCCTGTGTCTTGTGAGACACAGGGAGGCCTGTGCCCTTTTGGTGAAGCCAAACCCAGTCTCCTCCCTGCCCACCCTCCCTCTCTCCCTTCCTGTGCCAAGTCCTCGGGTCAAGGGTCATGGTTAGAAATGGTTTTCAGTGAGGTTAGGCAGCAGAGGGGTCCTGAGGCCTGGCCAGTGCACGGTCACTGCGCCCAGGGCCTCAGGCCCATCACAATATCACACACTGAAGTTTGTGGGTGCCAGTGGCCCGGTCTCCCCGCCATTTGGTCTTCTTCTTCTTCTTCTGGCTTTTTTCCGGAATCTGCTGCCTTTTGAGACAGTGAAGGGCAGAAAACCAAAGTCAGAATGGGCTTTGCTTCTCCCTGTCCCTTTCCTCCCTTGGCCCTGGGTCTGCGGGGCTGGGGCTCATGAGGGCAGGATGGAGGGAGCTGCCTCACTGGCCAACGTGCAGGAGCGGGGAGGGGGCTTGGGGGACACTGCTGTCCTAGGTGCTGGGGGAGGGCAAAGCCCGGACAGTGTCTCTGAGGCAAGGGGAGGGGGAGAGGGCAACACCTGCCTGCCGTCCTCCCGGTGCGCATCACTCTGAGGCCACGCTGATCTAACTCGTGCTCTACATTATGTGCTACATAGCGTTGACCTGCATTTCCATGGTTCGTGTTTTAACTAAAATGGCAGGTCAACCAAGTACAAAAGCTTTATGTATATTTTCTGTTCATTTTTCCCATGCCTTGGAACTAGAGGTCTGCACCCAAGACTTCACTACCTCCTAGTGATAGCACATCCTAAATGGAGACAAAATGTCCAGGAGAAAAAGAATTTCAAGAGTGCACAGGATGAAGCTGCAATGTCTCACTCCACGCTGGGAGGCTGTGGAGCACGGGCGGCTGCACCTGTTTAATGCGTTGGGGGCTGCGGGGCGGCAGGATTGGAAGGACAGTGTTAGAGCCCTGCCCGGGGGGTTTCACAACAACCAGCCGAAGGCAACATGCTGAAGGCATGGTGTTTGGGGACCGCTGGTTAGGCTGCTCTGTACATGAAGATTTTGGAAATGGGAAAGGTGGTTCATTCAGGTGAAATGTCAAAGGGCAGCCGCGGGGCTGGGGACACACGAAGGCAGGATGGAGGGGCTGCCTCACTAGCTGACCTGCAGAACCCAGGGGAGGCCGGGCAGGAGGCTGAGCTGCTGCCTCGGGCAGAAGGCACTTCCCTTTGGCTGGTGATGAACTTCCCTCACAGGCAGTGGGGTGGGCAAAGGTAGGTGGGCAGAGGGGAGGGATGAAGAAATAAACAGAGGGGCAAGAAATCTAAAAACAGGCCCCAAAATGCCCAGCCTCAACCTTGGATCAAGGAACTTTGTTCCTCCAGCCCTCCTGGTGCCCATCTTGCTGCAGACAGAGGCCCATTTCTAGGGAGGCGTGTGGTACTCACCTAATTACTCTAACCAGGTCGTGGAAGGCTTTATCCACGTTGAGCGGTGGGTCCTTGGCACTGGTTTCTATGTACGAAATCTGGAAGGCAAAGCTCACTTTGGGTAAAAGTGGCACTGAGATCCGCACAGACCTGTTCCCTAAAAACTCGAGTTCTCAGACGTCCCAAGGAACCACTCACTTTTAAAGGCCCCCCGGAACCCGGCTCCCGCAACCCCTGGGCCCTCCAGTGGCTTCTCACTGAGGCCCGGGAAGTTTCACTGACAATTTTTTCAAGTCCCTCTTGTTCTCTCACCACAGAGATATTTAATAGCTCCCTAAAAATAGAATTAAAATGATCTTTTTATATATTTGAAGACTAAAGACTTTCATTTGTCAAACCCAAATACATTCTGATTCCGCTCGTTTTTCTTCCTGAGGCCTCTTTCTCTACCTTGGGGGAGCATCTCCCTCTTCCCAGGCCTCCAGAGGAGACTCGGCAGGAACAGCTGAGGTGAGGCTGTGCCATGGCCAGGACGCTGAACCCGGTGACCGCGGGCCAGTCCGCGCCTCCCACCCCAACCAGGCTGCCCAGCCCAGCTTGTCTGCAGCTCCCAGCTCTGAGCTCAGCCTCGTTTGCTGAGGCTTGTGCCTGCACGTTCGATGCACAGTAATCAGCACTGGGCCGAAAGGCAGCCGCACATTGGGAGATATGGCCAGCGTGACCTTGCAGAAAGGGTTGTGAGGGCCATGCCCACACCAGGCCAGGCAGAGGGGTGAGAACAAAGGCCCCACGAGGTCAGGACACAGTCCCGAGCACTTGTCTGCACCTGTAACAGGGAGCCCACAAAGTCAGGAGGGGCTCACCCCGTTGCCCCACGGGAGGAGAGCACGTGGGGATCACCCGGCACGCACGGCCTCCCGCACGAGATGGAGGCGAGCCAGCTGTGACCGGACTGAAGGCCTTTGGAATTTTTCCTGATTTCTTCCTCATTACAAAATTAAGGCATTTCATTATAACACATTCGAAAAAGAAAAGCACAGTAAATAGAATAAAAACGACCAGCACTTTAAACACGGGGTGGGGGAGGTAAGTTGTTTCAGAGGAGTATTTGTGAACACGTCCTACTCATTCCCTCCATCAGGTATCCCGGTGAGAGGGCAGACGCTCACACAGGGCTGCGGCATCGGCAGGAGGAGGGTCCCCGGTAGCCGCTCAGACACAAAGGTCAGCGCGCAAAGGGCAGGGCTGGGCCTCAGAAACACTCATCTGACTAATACTTGAGCCGCTGATAAGCCCGAAAGGAAACTGCCCTGCCCCACGGGCTGCCAGACTTAAGGATGTTGTTTGAGATGACTGTGGGCTGTTTGGCCTCCCACGCAGGTCTCAATATCCCTGACCTCCCTCAACCCTTATCTTAACTGTCTGAGGTGAGCGAGTGTCTCCATTTTGCAGCTGGAAAAACTGAGCTTGAAGTGGCAACATACCTGCCCAAGGCCACACTGTGGAGATTCAAGGTTTGAACCAGGTTCATGTTCCACTTCCCACCTGGCGAGGCCAGGTAGGGATACTGAGGTCACCTTTGGAGCTTCTTTCAGGTGTGGTAGGTGTCCCAGTACACCCGGCACCAGAGTCCTCTGTGACCTCGTGAGGCCAGGACCATGTGCTTCCCTGTGCACACCCAGAGGGGAAACGGAATAGCCCCTGCAGCTGTGGCTGTGCCCTACCTGGAGCCCTTGTGTGTCCTATAGTTCTGCCAGCTCAGTAAGCCCCAGGTTCCAGAGCCTCACGTCACAGCTGTCTGTGCCACCGCATCACTCAGCAGTACACGAGCTGTCGTATCCCCAGGTCCCCAACACTCTCCACCTCCTTTCTGGGGGTCCTGCCTCTACCACTGAAGAAACACTGATGTGTATTAGCTGGCTCTTAGAATTCTAGGATTTTGGTAGCAACAAGACCTAAACCAAGGGAGGCTCTGCAGTGACCAGTAGTACCATGTGATTCCACTAAAAGACTAGGAAAAGCCACCTTCTGCACTGGGTGGGGCCACCCGCCTTGGTCAGCTGAAGAGAAACTGGTTTTATGAGCTCTAAGATGAGCATATTGTCTATAGTAGCTTGCAGAGTATTTAGCCAAATGATAAATGAGGCAGCAGCATTGTTTTTATACCGGGGTTCGGGGTGGAAGGGGTACTACTCAGAAGTGTGAGGCCCCTGGAAGCCACCTAACCTCCTGGGTCTCCTTTACTTTGATCTGAAGTGCCCTGCTCCCCACCGCCCACCCAGGGCTGCTGGGAGGAACACAGAAGGGGTTTGTGAAAGGCCTTAGCAAACCCTCTTCAGGTCACCCACCCTATGAAGCTCAAGACTGAGTGGGGATGGCTCCATAGGGCTCTCTCTGTCCAGGATGTTGGGCCAGTGGAGGGGGCCTGAGCCTAATGCTAAATCAGTGGTCAGTTCCCAAGCCTCATCTAGAGACTTCTGAGCAGTGCCCATCCTGGCTGGTGGCCCCTGTTCTTGAGGCATGGACTTTGCCTGACTCAGCGACATGGCATTCTGGTCCTCGAACACCCCTGAGTGCTCAATCCCTCCTGCTGCTTCCCCCTCAGTCCCCCACGTCACAACACCGAGTGTCCCAGCCTCAGTTCCAGGCCCCCCGACTGTGTGCAACCACTCCCTTGGGTGCTGACTTATCCCCATGCCGCTGACTGCCCAGGTTTACCTCCAGGAGGGTGTATCTGACGGCTGTCTTGGCATCTCCGCTGGATTGCTACCTGGCTACTCACACTAACGAGATCTAAAACCCAGCTCCTCGTCTCCCCCGGCCCCGTTACTGTACTTCCGGTTTCTGAAAGTGACTCATGCCCCACGTCACGGAGTCATCCTCGATTACTTTCCTCCTCTCTCAGCCCCCGCCAACCTGTGAACAAGTTCTGCTGGCTCTCTTAGAATTGCATCCAGAAGGCAAGCATTTCTCACCACCTTCACGAGCTCCTCGCAGGCCCACGTCAGCCTGCACCCCCTAACTGGTGCCCCTGCTCCCACCCATGTCCCCACAGACCACTCTCCACACGGCCACCAGAGTGAAGTTCTTCAGCCACGTGTCAGGTTGCATCGCTCTTCACCAAGACCCTCCAAAGGGTTCCCCCTGACTCCGAGTCCGTAAGCCTTAAACCACCTCCCTGACTGCGTGCCTGCCACTCACCCTCCCATTCCCGCTCCAGCTACACAGGCCTCCTTGCTGTTCCCCACACGCCCGCCTCAGGGCCTCTGCACTCAGTACTAACTCTGCTGGAACATTCTTTCCCCTGATACCTTCAGGGCTTATTTCCTCGCTGACACACAGTCTTCCCAGCAAGGCCTTCCCTGGGCACCCTGTTAGGGGAAGCACCCCCTCCACCCCACAGTCCCAACCCCTCCCCGATTTACTCTTTTCTCATAGCACATGTCACTTCTGACACATGCTAACTGCTTTGTTTATTGTCTGTCCCTGCCACTAGAAGGAACAGTGTTGAATGAAGTAGAAGGCAGAGACGAGCAGGATGACCTCTCATTGAGCCCCTTCCTCTCCTCACCGAGCCGGGCCTACTGGGCAGAGAGCAGGGGCCACCTGGCAGCCTTCCTGGTAGTCACAGCGGACTTCCATATAACTGACCAGTGAGGCCTGGGGCACGGGCTGTGCCAGTGTGGACAGAGGTGAGAAGGCTAGTGACCCCACCCAGCACCATCCAGATGGCAAAGGGGCATCGCTGTGAACTTAAAACAGAACCAATGTGTCTGTCGACACTACATGGCCTGGGAAAACCTCAGGTTGAGCACTCGGAAGGTGGAAATCATTGAATCTACTTCAACGTGTGGTTGTGAGGAGTGCCCCCCAGCATGACGCCTGGCACAGAGCAGGGCTCAGTGAATGTCAGCAGATCCACGAATTCTGAGCACGATCAGGCAGCTGGCTCAGAGACGGGACGGAGCCGATCCCCCGCACAGCCCAGAGACCGGTCTGCTGCGTCCGGGGCCGGGAGGGGGCTTGTACACCACAGTTCGCGTCCACTGTGCAGGCACCTGCTCTACACATTAGAGCCTCTAATGAATGGCAAGAAGGTGCTTTCTCTGTGGGCTGTTGTTTTATTTCACAAAATACCCCACATTGCATGTGTCCACTAAGCCCTTCCGTGGAACCCAGCCCACCATGTATGATGCTTGAGTTCCACTCACGCAGGACTGTAGGAGTGATGGGGTGTTGACTTCCGTACAACCCCTGGCACGCCCCCCCCAATACACATGCACACACACACACAAAACTTACATTGTGTTTGGTTGCCATTTCCTTTCCTTGCTCCCTGGTGATTTTCCTCAAATGCATCAAATCAACTTTGTTGGCCACAAGGATCATGGGGAAGGACTCCCTGAAAAACAAAAGATCAACAGCTTGTGAGCGTTCGCTGTCCCCACCCTGTGAGGGTGGTGCAGCCACATCTCAAGCATCCCGCGGCACATAGCAGCAGCCTCCTCGGTGGCCTGGGGCTGACTGGAGTCCTTCCTTTGACTTTCCGGGGAGGGAAAAAGGCCCAAAGGCTGCTGGCTGTCTTGGTTTAAAGGCTTAGGACTATTGCAAGATGAATGAGGGCCTCCCCGGGGACGCCTGGCTCAGAACTATCAGCAAGGGCACCGAGGGGCTGCTGGCCAGGGGCCAAGTTCCCAGACCTGCTCCGTTCCATCTCTCGGGCACCCTGATGCACCAGCCACGCAGGGCTGCAGTAATGACTCGTGAAGAGCACCAGGGCCAGGGTGCATCACACAGCGGGCATGCAATGAATGGCAGCTGTAGTCAGGATAACTCTCAGAAAAGGAAGGGCGGGGTCAAGGGACACGTCTACCCTGAAGGTTCCCCCTGGCGTATGTGGCTGAATTGCTGTCCAAACTGAATAAAATGCCAGTCTGGCAGCAGCTGCATCAGCACTGGCTATTTTATTAGGAAAATTATAATTGGACACGTGAAAATGTACTTTATTATTTTCCCTTGCACTTCTTTGGTTAGCTAGAAGGATAGACAGTTATGTACATCTCAGTCATAATTATATTTTCTCTTTTGAAATTCCTACAGTCAGGGGCTGAACCCACATTTCTCTTCTAGAGTTTTGTGTGCATGTGAGTGTGTGTGCATGTATGGAGAGAGAATTGTGCGTTCCTTACCTTGTAAAGTTATTAACACTTTGCCTTTGAAGTAGGTGTTAACTGAATTTTTGAAGTTTACTGAGATTTCCTCAAAGTTTGCCCTTTTTACTTTCTTTACATTGCCTCTTTAAGATACTGACAAAAACAGTCAGGCTTAAAACAGACTCCAAATTATTTAACTACACCATATCATGCAAAGAAAAAAAGGAGCCTTTAATTAGGGGCTCACATTCAAATGTGATTTGACCAATTACAATGTATATTGGAGAAAAAAAACCCTCATTTTTCCTTTGTAGTAAAAAATTGGTTAAATTGGAGCTGAAAAACAGAGATGTTTCTTATGACCCTTAATTCATTGGTGGGACCATTTAGGAAAGATGGGAGGGGCTGCCCCCTGGAAGCTGTTTGATCCTGTAGAAAGAACTCCAGAGGGACCAAGGTCTGTATTCAGCCTGCCCCTCCATGCCTCAGCTTTCACCTGAAAACGTGAGAGACAGAGACAGACAGACAGACAGACAGAGCCTGCTCTGAGCCAGGAGCCGGGGAGCCGGGCCCAGCCGTGCTCACCTGTCCTTGACGCGCAAGATGAGCTGGTGGAAGCGGTCCACGTGCTCAAAGCTGGCCTTGTCCGTGACGGAGTAGACGATGAGGAAGCCGTCCCCTGTGCGCATGTACTGCTCCCGCATGGCGCTGAACTCCTCCTGCCCAGCCGTGTCCAGCACTGGGGAGGGAGGGGGCCCGTCAGGGCTGCCACCAGCCACCCTGGAGCCCCTTGTGGCCTGCAGACCCCATGCCACTGCTCCATTTCCTAACATGGGGATTGTCAGGGCTGTTCTGAGTTAATAAACTAAGGCCCCCAGAGCCATGCCTGGCACAAAGATGCCCTGTAAGAGTGTCTGCTGGGAGCCTGTTCTATCTGCTTGGGGCCCCCTCCCCATGTCTGGGCCTGGACTCCTTCCTCTGAACCCTCCTTCTCCCCACTCCCCTTGCCTTGGCAGCTGACTCTGACCCACAGCATTTTGCTGTCTGAGCCCCCATGACTCTCCCCACCTCTGTACAGACCCTTCTTGGCACTGTTCTTGCTACCTGTGTAATGGGTGCCCCCCCTTGACCCTCAGCAGCCAGTGGCAGGGACCTGGTTGTGTGAGTTACCCATCTGCTCCGGGGAGCCCGGCACAAACAGTACCCATGCAAGAGCTGACTGAATAAATGAATGTGACGTCTATCCAATTTTGATCATCCATGTATTCACTCATTTAGGAAATATGTGAGAGCCTACTACGTGCTAGGCAATGTTGTAGGCACTATCCACATGGGGTGAGCGAAGCAAAATCCTTGCTCCCAGCTCACTCTACTCTCTGACCAGCCCAAACTTTCTCTCTCCCCAGAGGCAGTGGAGCAGCTGGTCACAGATAACAAGTACTTCTGATCTAGTAGGGAGACAGATAAACAAATGAATAAATAATACGATTTCCAGTCGGATGACTACCTACGATAAATAACACTATGGCCGGTTGGAGGTAACTGGCAGAGGCGGGTGTCATTTTGGGTAGGGAGGCAGGGTGTCTTGCAGGAGATGATACCTGAGCAGTGACTAAATGGTGGCAGGGAGGGGGCCACGCGGCCTCGGGGCACAGCATTCCAGGCAGAGGGAGCACAGGGAGGAGGTGCGCGCCGGGGCAGGCCCGATGGCCGGGGGAGTTGGGGGGCAGGTCTGGGGGCTGCCGCACCAGGGTAAGGCCTACATCATTCCAAGCAAGAGAGGGGCCCCTGGAGAGTCTGGGCTGAAGACTCGCATGATCTGAAGGACATTTGAGACGCCTACCCTGGGTGCTGGGCAAGTGCAGATGAGGAGTGAAAGCAGAGACATGATTTAGGAGGTGGTTAGTGCATTGCCCAGGCAAGAGAGGGTGATGGGGTGGGGGCTGGATGCTGTGAGAAGTGACCCGATTCAGGTCAGTTTCTAAGACAGAGCCAGGGCTTTCCAGAGGGACTGTGGGGGTGTAGCAGGTGATAGAGCGTCACTGAAGACAAGGGCTGTTAGGGACTGAGCCAGCTAAACAGTGCCCTCAGATGCTGTGATGGGGAAAACTGGGTGGAAACAGGGTGTGAGAGGCTCAGTTCTCGACACAGGCTTGTTCTCCTCCCATAATAAACGAGGGGCCAGGCTCCTGAACTTCAGGTCCTTCGAGTTCTGACACCCTGAAATTATCTGATCTGGATATAAAATGAAGGGGCTCAGAAAACAGTATCAGTGGCTGAGGACCAGTAGGGGAGACTGAGGCAGTTTCCTCAATACTTCCCAGGGAGACCACACATTTACCTGGAGGGAGTGAAGCCTGTTTTCCTAAATAAACCCCACTCAGAACTGCCATTAACAAAACAGAGGAAATGGCATGGATTTGGCTGAAGGGGGGATGGGAAGACCTGTATTGAACAGCAGAAGATATTAAGGTAATATTGTAATTAATATACTCATAGATTTTGAATGTGTATATTATCTAAAACAAAATCTAGAGACCTAGGATATTAAAAATACAATTATTCAGAATAAAAAAAGTCTCGGTAGGGAGATAAAAATCAAAATGGACCCTCTGGAAAGAAAAAGTAATCATTTCAGACATCAGAGGTCTTAAAAATTATATTACACATGCTTCCTAAAAGAATTCTTGGAGGATATACTCCAGCAAAGTGAAAGATGAATCTACAAAAAAGAAAGATGAGTATTGTAAATAATGATAAGCAAACACAAACTGTAAGCATTAAGTTTAAATACTGTTACAAAATTTGAAGAATATGAATGAGTTTAGAAATAAAATCTATGATGATCCATAAGCCAAGATGGGGGCTGAGAAAAAGCAAATCACTACTAAAGTTCTTGCCTTATTTGGGATTACAACCCAGTGATGACAGAACAATGTAAGTATCCACATACACACTTGTGTATGTTTATACGTGTGTGTGTCTATATGTGTGTGTGCATGTATAGAATAACCACTGGGACAGAAATAAAATTCAGAACTTCCACATAATTAGAAAGGGAGACAGAACAAAGTAACTGGGACCAATCCAACAAAAGGCCATAATAAACTAACCAAACATATGAATATTGAAACAATAAATGTGAGATAATACGGCGGAAATAAATCTAACTACAACTAGTGCCTATAAAAGAAAATGAGTTAAGTTCACCTGTGAAAATAAGATATTTTGTATCTGAACTCAGGGTTTTCTGGGGGATTTTTTTTGCTTTGGTTTTTTTTTTGTTAGGTTATACATATAAGTTAGATCATATGGTTTTTGTCTTTATCTGATGTATTTCACTTAGCATATGCCCTCAAGATACAACTATGTGGTTGCCAATGACAAGGATTCATTCTTTCTATGGCTGAATAATATTTTATTATGTATATATATGGAATAAACACTTAGGCTATGTCCGTATCGTGACTATCACAAATAATGCTGCAATAAATGTGGCATGTAGCTTTTTGAATTAGTGTTTTCGTTTTCTTCAGGTACATACCCAGAGGTGGAATTTCTGGATATGGTAGTTCTATTTTTAATTTCTTAAGGAACCTCTCTACTGCTTTCCATAGTGGCTGCACCAGTTTACATTCCCACCAACAGTGTCTAAAGTTTCCCCCTTTCTCCACATCCTTGCCAACATTTCTTATTTCTTGTCTTTATTCTAACAGGCAGGTGATAGCTCACTGTGGTTTTCATTTTAATTCCCTGATAATTAGTGATGTTGAGCACCTTCTCATGTACCTGTTGGCCTTCTGTGTGTCTTCTTTGCAAAAGTGTCTATTCAGATTCCTCTGCCCATTTTATAACTGGACTCTTTTCTTGTTCTTTTTTTTTTTTGCCCCTGAGTTGTACGAGTCCTTTATATATTTGCAAATTCTTTCTCCCATTACTGTCTCATTTTGTTGTTGGTTTCCATGGTTGTGCGGAAGCCTTTTAGTTTGATGTGGTCCCGTATGTTTTTTTGGCTTTTATTGCCTTTGCTTTTGGTATCAGATTCAAAATCACCTCCAGGACTGAGGTCAGGAGCTCACAGGTGCACGGAACAAATCGGTGGTTGACAGAGAGGCAGGGAGGAGAGGTGGGGGAAGAGGGGTGAGCAAAATGGATGAAGGTGGTTTAAAGACACGAATTTCTAATTATAAAGTCAATAAACCATGGCTATAATTTATAGTATGGTGACTATAGTTTAAAAAACTACTGTATTGTACCTTCAAAAGTTGCTAAAAGAGTAGATCTTATAAGTTCTCATCACAAGAAAAATTTTTTCTTAGTGTGGATAATGACAGATGTCAATTAGATTCACTGTGGTGATCATCTTGCAATATATACAAATATCAACTCATTACAGTGTGTACCTGAAACTAATATGTCAATTACACCTCAAAAAGCAGATAATTAATACAAAATCCATTTGTCTGCTACTACAAAGATATATATAAAATAAAATGACACATAAAGATTAAAAATGAAAGAATATGCCAGCCACATGCATCCATAAACAGAATTCAGAGCCAAAGCAATAAACAGGAAAAACCAGGATATTTATAGTGGGAAAATCTTGAAGTGCCAAAATCACAGATCTAAACATCTAAGAGTGTTGCCTAAAATATAAATAAGTATATGTGTGTGTGTATACACATATACTTATTTATATACACACATACTTATTTTTATATATATGATTCTTGAAAACAGGAATTGACAAATTCCATAATCATTGTGGGAGAATTGAACGGACTTCCCTTTAAGATAGACAGACAATTGGACAAGACACAGAGAACTTCACACTCAAACAGGAAATAAGCATTTTAAATACACATGAAATCATCACAAAATTGACCATATGTTAGGCTCTAAATAAAAAATGTCAACAAATTCCAGAAAGCAGAAATCATATAAGCTATCTTTTGCCTATAATGCAATAAGATCAGAAATGAACAGAAACATGAGCATAAAGGAATCCACCCACTTGAAAATGTTGAAAGCTATACATCTCTACAACTCCCCAGTTAGAGGGAAAAGCCAGTTAGAAATGCCCACCAGTCAGCAGTGACCAAACCTCTGGTGTGAGGCCACAGTGATACTCAGAAGAAAAATACAGCTTCCAGTGAATTTTTGAAAACAAGAAAGACTGAAAATTAAGTAAACATTTAAATCAAGAGTCTAGAACAGGAAAAATAAATACAACCAAAGAAATAAGAAATCATCACTAACAGTAAAAATTAGGAAAATGGGAGAAAGGAAAAGTATTGATATCTACAAGTAAAAAGCTTATTTCTCGAAAGGACCAATAAAAAAAAAAAACCTCTACCAAGTCTCATCAAAGAAAAACAAGATAAACATTTGAATTATAAAAGCCCAATGATTATTAGTATTGATATATATTTAATTATGAGAGAAAACTATATGTAGTTTTATGGCAATACATTTTTGATTCTTGATGAAATAGATCATTTAAGAAAATATAAAGAAGCACAATTGGTTCAAAAATATATACAAGTTGACTAGGCCAATGATTGTCGATGAAATTGATGAAGTAAAATCTACCCCATGAGTGGCATAAAGCTATTCTTGTAGTGCAGATTGTTCCGGAGCATGGAAAACACAGAGACTTTCTAAGTCATTGCCAGTGCCCAGCGGAACCCTAGCAGACTGGACAGAGAGGGCGCTGCCAGGCCCGCCCACTGCAGG